GCAAACTGAGTAATAAAAGCAAAGGGTCTCATAGAGCCTTGAAGTATAACAAGCATATTGTGGCTTAAGTGTTCATGGCCTGCAGTCCACTTTATCAGACACCTGGAATGGAAAGCATTCCTCCGAAGCTTTCATGTTGTAAGAAACATCTTACAGTAAGCTTTAAGTTGCCAGCAGGTATTTTATTGTTTTTGTTTCAAGAAATCAGCACAGCTAATCCTCTGAAACTGAGCAATAATGAAATCCTTGTGAACAGTTATAAAGTACAGAAAGCTACTTCTAGGGCTTCATGATGGCTTTCTTGACAACAGTATAAAAATCAGAGATTGATTTCTTTTCCCCTGCTTTCCAGTCTAGCCTATCACTTACGGAATTTCTCAGTGGTGTTCCATCCAAATGCCAGCCAGGTCCGACCCTGCTGAGTTCTTCAAGATCAGCCAATTTGGGCTGGATGGCACCCCCTACTGCTGGGGGCAGGACTGAAACACAGACATGTAGAAACAGCAGACTATACTAAGTAATACAGGATATTACAGGAGTGTCTGCAAGGTATGGTAAAAAAAAAAAAAGTCAAGGTGGCCACAATGGTGCAATTGAATCTCTGCCCTGTTTTTATGTGCACTGCAGGTAAATATTACAGAGATTTTTTTCCCCAGCCATATCGGTACTTACTGTTCCAAAGCAACTGCGAAGGAATCATACATTAAAATCATGCATCAATTACGAAATGCTACGTGAGTGCCTACCACTCAGACCAACATTACAGGTCATATCTTTGTTTGACCCTGCAGACATGCTATTTTAGGATTCCTCTTTATGGTATATTTAACTTAAAGCACATTCAAACACCAACCATCATGAAGATCAAGGGCTCCTGTGGTCTGAATAGTACACTATGACAACATCTTGACATAGCAACTTTAGCTCAAATGTTCACTCGAATCTGGAAAACAGTCAACTTTCAAACCTTAAGCTTCCTTTTCAATTTTTTTTTTTTTAAATCACAGAGCACCTTTGCAGGCAAACTGCTTCTGGAGGACAGACATGGGCAGGGGAAACTGAATCCAAACTGCAGCTTGGTTCTTCCAGCTGCACAGAGCTCCTTCAAGCAAACATCGTCAGAAGGACTCGTTCATTCTTCCTCTCTGTCTTCTGCCTTTGCTGGAGGGGGGCAGTGGGGAGAATGACAAACAGCTCCCACAGAAGTTGTGCACCCGCCAAGGGAGACGTTGGTGCCAGCCAGACCACAGCCACTAACAAGGCCCTTTCTGCATCTCAGTTAGCGCGACACCATCTCCAGCCATCTGTTTTCCTGATAGGGTGACAAAACCCTTTTTGTCAATGAGCACTCCTTTAACTAGCACCTGTTTTCATGACATTAAGACTTGCTGAAACGCGTCCTGCAAAGTGCATTCACTGCAGGCCGCAGGGGGTAAGCTAAAAAGGAAAAAGGAAAAGAAACCACCAGCACAGCATTTCTGAAGTCTGAAACAGAACAGCTGAGCTGTCCCACAGCCTCTGGGTCCATGTTCTCAAAGCAAGAGTCCCGGGGAAGCACGGGATGCTGCTATTCAAACTGTATCAAGCCCGACATTCAGCCCTACATTCCAGGGCAAGGCTCGGCTCCGTGCCTGGGACATTCCAAAATATGTTCCACTAACATCTCCGGAGAAGGAAGTCCCCAACGCAGGAGTATCTAAGGTCAAGGGGCACACAAGACTCTCTTTAGAGGGGCCCACAAGTGTCCTGAGTGGGGAGGGCAGGGGCAGCATGTCTTGCATGGAGCTCCTTTACAAAGCATCCAGGTCTACTCTGCGCTAGCTCTAGCGGGAAGGGGCAGGTAAAAAGAAAAAGATGAGAAAAAAAGAAAATCCAGAAAAATGTTGCCGCTGTCCACCATTTCATGATGCCACCGGGCTTCGTGTTGCTTCTGACAGGGGCCCAAGGCTTGGATTTTGGGATGATTACATGGAAGAAAGTTCCATAAAAAGAAGAAGAGAGGATTAGGAGAGAGATTAAAACTTACCTTTTTTTGGGGTGGTGGTATCCTAACTGTCTGAATTGGGCAACAGGGAATATTGTTCAAAAGAGAAATCCCTGTAGGTCTCAGAAACTGGTATGGAGCACAGAAACAGAGACCCAGTAATATCCATTCTGTAACAAGAAATTCCCAGTCTCTCTACAAGCAATGCAGGCATTAAAATCTATGGTGCTGATTTATTTATTTATTTTTCAAATTTTTGTATGCTGCCCGTCTCACTATACAAGTGACTCTAGGCAGCATTGCAGATAAAAAAAAACTATAAAATCCTAGAAAAATTATATAGGTTAAAAAACTACAAAAGGTTAAAATTAAGCTAAGAAGTTAAAACTACAATGCAGACTCAAAAGTGGAGAGCACATCCTCAGGCTACCAGCCACCCCCAGTGCTGCAAACCCCCGTTGGGTCCCTAGGCAAGTTGGCAGAGCCAAGTCTTAACGCCATTTCATGCTGACCTAGTTTTCATACATGAGTCAAGAGTCCAAAGAAGCTCCTAGTTTCTACACTGGACTCGTTTGGTTGTTAGAAACAGAAGGCAACCTGAAACCTCCAGGCATTTTCCCTTATAATTCTGAGAAGCCCTCGTTATTTGGCATGCAGGTTGGGGCTGACAGCACTTGACTCCAAAACCTCTGCTCCCCTTCCTAACAATGACACACAGCTCTGACGACAAACAACAGGCTGTGGTCTACGCTGCCCTCTGATGTGCACAAGGAATACAGCAGTTTCTCCTGTCTCTGCATCTACTCCAGTTGGTGGGCAGGAACCATCTTTTTCCTAGGTGGAAAAGGGATGTGTCCCCTTCTGCTGAGACCCCAAGGGAAAAAACAGCAAAAAGAAGATATCAGAGGGTACAGTAACAGAGTCCCCAGGTGTTCCTACTGGTCCTTCCCTGTCAGTTTTCCATTTAAATCTGAATGGCTATCAATTTGGGATTTCCTTCATTCACAGGAACTGCTTCTAAATGATCACTGAGATGCCATCTATAATCTCTAAATCACTTGAGCAAAAGCCTGACCTATCACCACCGTAGGATTGGTTCTTACTCCAGTCAGATTCCTCAATGAAGCACTATGCTTCCTTGTAAGAGAAGGGGAGCATTCAGAGTTGGAAAACGAAATAAAAAGGAAAAGATCACATTAGGGGCATCGTGTGCTTGTATGATGAAATCCATCCATCCTCCCCAGCAGGACATCACAGGTTCTCAGCATTGGATATGCCTACCTACCATCTGGCTGAGTCTCAGATGCTTTCCCATTTCCTTGCCTGACTGAAGTTTAGAGAAGTGCCTCCCCTCCCGATCCCATCCCTGTCCCATGTTTCATTTCTCATTAACGAACATCTGCCAAAATGGAGAGACATAAGGTCATTTGAATAAACCAGATTTGGGCCATTAATTTTCCTTACTTTATCTTGGTTCAGATTTAAATCAAAACAAAAAGACAAAGAGGGCTGAAATCAGAGCTTCGGAGATGATGTGCCTTTTTATTGTTACTTACAAACAATAAATGAAAGGACCACTGTTTGCAATGCAGATTCAAAGTATCACAATTCCGTATTATTTAAAATCATTATGCCCTGCAAAATGTAAGAACAAAAGAATGGAATAGGGTTCCTAGATCCATTCTGGTCACCTGCCCTCCTTGGATAAAATTAGTATTAGGGGAATCACTAGTTTGTACCCAAACATCTGACATTAAACAAGCTGTACATTTTGTTTGCTTGTATCACCCATTTCTTCCCCTAGAGAAGAATCAGCTGTAAATCAAGTATTAAATTCTGAGATAAGTTCCAATCAGAACAATTCAGAATTAAGCTTCCATCTCCCTCATTAACCCTTAGACCAGTGTTTGTCAACCTTGGGAACTTTAAGAAGTGTGGACTTCAACTCCCAGAATTCTCCAGCCAGCCAGGCTGTCCGGGGAATTCT